GCTAAAATGTCAATTTTTTCGCTTTCTTGTCCTATATATAAATGCTCAATATCATGAAATATTTGAGAAAATAATGTTTCTTGAGGAACACATCAGCTGTTTTTATGTTACCAAATCCAAATTCATCAGAAAATTTGAGACTTTCAAAATGGCGGATTCGATATGGCACATCGATATTTGAAGAATATCATATTTTTCGAAAGTTCGTGTACATTTATTAATTGTTCGTGAGTCGTGTATTTCAAGGTCATCAGAATTATAAACTATAATATAATTATAGTTTTTAAAATTATAATATAATATAAATTAAATTTATAAAACTATATTTAATAATATATACTTCACATAACATAAATGGTGGACTTAATATAGCGAATTCTATTGTATAGAACTGTGCTCTCATAAAAATCGGGACAAATTTCTTCTCTTAAAATAAGTAATAAATATTGTTATGGGATCGTTCAACGAGACAGTGGTGAAGGTTTCAATAAAAACAGTTTTATTTAAGAAAGGAGTCCTATTGACTTGACCCTCTTGCTAGCGCGCTACAGATGTAGTCTTAGAGATAGATGTGCGTCCGGTTCGGTCGGCCGGTAGTTAAGCTCTGGCCGTTCCTTCGGCGACGGCAATCAGATTATCTAGGCTCGTCGCTGAAGGAATCTACAATCTTTGCGAAAACATCGTGCTATTTGCGACCTTCGTCCATGCGGATAGTGCATTATTTGCCTATTGCCTGTTTTGGACATTTCCGCTGTGTGGCGTAATGCCGAGCTTGCAGCATGTGCGGCGCAAGCGGATGTGCTTTGTATAGCACTCCGCCAATATACGAGGGTAGTCCCAGAAGTACCTGACCTGACGTATAGATAGTGGTTGTTGTTTGAAAAGGATGACTATGGTAGAAAGTACAAGCCTTATAAAGCTTAAGTTTGCAGTTTGACGACGCTACGTTGTTTAGTATTTGTTTGGCAGCCATCAATAGTGAACGCTCTCAGTGAATTTGTAAACATGGAAAAAATTGATCATCGTTATGTGATACAATACTTTCATTTGAAAGGCCTCAGTCCAAGCAATATCAAAGCGGAGCTGGATTGTACTCTGGGGAAGTCTGTTCTTTCGTTTACAATAGTAAAATATTGGATGGTAGAGTTTAAACGAGGCCGTAAGGGCTGCCAAGACGAACATCGCAGTGGTCGACCAAATGAGGTGATTACGCCAGAAATGGTGAAGAAAATCCACAAAATGGTATTGGATGACCGTCGACTGAAAGTGCACGAGTTAGCAGACATGGTAGGCATTTCAAAAAGTGTCGTACATCGCATATTGACTGAAAATTTGGACATGAGAAAGCTATGCGCAAGATAGGTGCCGCGATAGGAACAAAATCAGCGTCGTAAGGATGTTTCAATCGAGTGTTTGGTGAAGTTTCGCAGCAATAAAGCCGAGTTTTTGCGTCGATTCATAACCATGGGTGAAATATGGGTCCATCACATCATACCTGAGACAAAGGAACAGTCAAAACAATGGACCAAAGTGGCTTGATGGCTATTTTGAGGAGTTCGACGATTCCCACTATAAACAGGGTATCGAAGCTATTGAACATCGCCAGGAAAAGTGTCTTGAGCTAAAAGGAGACTATGTAGAGAAATAAAGATATATTTTCCCAAATTTTTTTTCTTTCTTTGTTAGGTCGGGTACTTTTGGGACTCCCCCGTGGACCCTACCTTGCCGTGGTGGGGGAGCTTGTGTGTCCCGATGACGTACAGGACTGTACCGGCGGGGGTTCCGACCCCAGGCAGGTTCTACCATGCCGGGGTGGCCTGTACGGAGAGACCAGACTAAGAGCGTCCATAACACTCTTGGATGGGCAGCTGCCTCCAGGTTTTACCCAGGGACTGGAGGACCGTACTCGTACGATCCAAAGATCCCTACAGCGCGGGTAGAGCGGGCTCGTCAGCTTGGTGAAGGCAGCCGGTCTAGGGGAAGGAAAACCCCGAATTCAAACCCGAGTGGGTCGGGCTCATAACAATCCGACACTGGATGGACTTATAATGACGACTAAGGCTAATATCGTCTCAGGATTCGGACCTGAGAACCGGTGTAAGGATAAGGGTAGTGTCCCGGCCCTCCCTGCGTCGTCATCGAGCGACTGGCAGGCACAAGAGTTGACCGCGGGCTCCTGTGCGGATACGATTACCGCGAAGCATCGTGGTAGGGGAATGGTCCTGTCCCTCAGCACGTCGTCAACTGACGGCAGGCCATCTTTTCAGGTATGCTCCGTTATACGGAGCAGAAGTCGAGACACAAGCGGGAGTAGCGCGAGTTACGACCCGCAGTCCGACGTGGACCCTGATTATCACGGGTCCTCCTCCAAGCGTGTGCGCCGGAGAGACCGCTCCCGCCGAGGAGTGTGTAGTGCGGGCCCTGCGGATCTGAAGGAAGGGCAACCGCGCACCGAGGGACGAACCCCGGCCAACATCTGCCGGAAGGACGGTCCCTACCGAGGGACTCGTCTGGTGAGCTCCCGGACCAAGAAGGAGCGGCCACCCAACGGGGGAGTTGAACCTCCGCCTAGTGACGGGAAGCACATCTCCTACCGAGGAGGGAGTGAGGCCAGCTCGTCAGGCAAGGTGGAGTCTGGGCCCAACGAGGGAAAGGAGATGGCCAAAGGGATAGGGACTGAGACCTCAACCCCGACGAGTAGACTCAACAGACCGGGCCCTCTTAGTAGTAAGAGGGGCACCCGGACTGAGGGGGGTTGCGCGAGCGCGGACGCGAGTAAGGGGGAAAAGAGGACCACCAGTAAACCGGTGGTCCTATCTGATGTCGTCTTAAGTCAGAACTCCAGGATTCGAATCAACGACAGAGAGAGGGACCCCAAAACGGGGAAATTCCTGAAGAAACCCACGACCACTGTGGGTACGAAGGACCTGAGCCAGATGGAGAAATCGGCAACAAAGGCTGACACGACCACCACCAGCACTGCTGGTGATGCTGTGACGGCTGGGGGGGGAGTACATTGGGTTTGGATCCGAAAAAAGAAAGAAGGAGGAGTCCAGCGGGGGCTCATGTTCCTCAATCGAGAGGGAGATAAGGAAGCGTGCCAGCGCTCAGATCAGGCCAAGGGACCCCAGGGGAAGGAAGGCCACTACTGGGGCTGGAGTCGGACTCCGTGAGAAGAAGGAGACGGAGGCCATCCGTAAAAAGGTGGCGGAGAAAGAGTTAGAAAGGGAGATGGAGAACCTCCTCAGCGCGGGGGTGATGCGTATCTTGAACGAAAAGTGCCTCACTGAGGAGGTTTTTAAAGACTCCGCAACAAAGGGGCTTCTGAAGGAGGCTGGGTCGGCGGAACTGGTCTCGGAGGTTGGTCGCGCACTCGGCGTCGTCCGACTGGTGGCACATAGGTCCAAAACCCTGAAGGGGATCTATGTGTCGCTGTTGGGCCGTGCCGTGACCATCTCCGAGGTGGTTCTGTCGACTCTTATAGCGAGAGTCGCGGCGCACCATGGAGAGGAAGATAGGGATGCGATCGGGATCTGGAGGGAGATGAAGGAGCTGAGAGAAGTGAAGGTGAAGAACAGGGAGCTGGAGGAGGAGTTAGATGCGGCCAGGGCGGCTGCGAGCTGTTCTTCCCCTGCCCCCGCTCACTCGACGACAGCACAGAGGAGGACGTACGCCGACGTGGTGTCGGGCGATGGCTCCTCGACGATTGAAAGGGAGGGGGCACTAGTATCCGGACGCAGAAAAACGAAGCAGAAGAGGAGGAAGGTCGTGAAGTCCCCCATCCGGGAGGACTCCACGTCCGTGGAGGAAATAGAGGTGGACGGAGACGGGGTCAAAGTCTATAACGACAACCTCGATTTCTTCAGGAGAGATGAGGCCACTGCCCCGATGCCTCCGGTCCGTAGACCGGAGGTACTGGGGCAGAGAAAGGAACTGGAGGATTCCCTGGCGATTAGTGGACTGGACGCGGGGACCAGGGAGTTGTACCAGAAGTGGACGAGGAGGCTGTTGGAGTGCGTGGAGGAGAGGGAGCTTTTTGACCCGGAGAGTGAGGAGCACGCTCGCCTCACGCAGGAGACAGAGCGTCCCTCGCTAATGAAGAAGGGCCTCATGGAAGACAGGCCAAAGGGCAGATCCTCGGGGACAGAGGCGCGGGCTGGGGCTCCCGACACTACCCTGCTCCCGAGGGGGGAGGCAATAGCCAACCCGATCGGGGGGGAAGGGAGCTGAAAGACCGGCGCCCAGAATCCCGAGGACCATAACCCAAAAGAAAAAGGAGCAAAGGAGGAGGCAGAGGGAGAAAAGGAGACAAGTAGCTGCCATCCGGGGGGCGGAAGGGACCCTGTGATATAGGGACCGGGGATCCCTCCTATTCAGGGAAAGAAGTCATATGCGCAGGTGACCGGAGGAGAGGAGAGGAAGGTGGGACCTACAAGAGGACCCACCACCACCAATAGGTCCCAGCCGAAGGAGGGGCAGGATGAAAGATGGACCACGGTGCTGAGCAGGAAGGAGAGAGAGAAGAGGAAGAAGGAGGAGAAGAGAAGTACTCTCCCACTAAGCCTCCTCCCTGGCCCACCTCGGGGGCTAAGAAGGGGGGTCAGGTCAAGCTGAGGCCGCTTAGATCAGCCGCCGTCACTCTCAAATACCCCGACGGCGAATACAGCCAATTTATGGCAGAGGCCAGGCGCCGAATTAAGCTGACGGACCTGGGGATTCCGGAATCCCTCAGGGTCCACCGGACCCTCACGAGGGCCTTGCTTGTAGAGGTGCCTGGCCTCAACGCCGGGGCACTAGCCGACCGGCTTGCGGAGTAGCTCCGCAAGCTGGCGGCTGAGAAGGGCCTCGAGTATCGGGTCCAGAGACCGGTGAGGACCGCGACGCTGCGGCTCACCGGCCTGGACCTGATGATCGGGGCGCAGGAGGTGGCGGAGGCGGTAGCCCTCGCTGGGGGGTGCCTGCCTGCGGAGGTGGGTAGGATTCGTGTACCCGAGCGAGGGATGGCTCTGGTGCGGTGTCCGCAGGCGGCGGCCTCCAAGGTCGCCACTGCGGAGCGGGTTCAGATAGGCTGGACCCGCGCCGGGGAGGTGGTGCTGCCCGCTCGCGCGGACTTATGCTTCAGATGTCTGGAACATGGTCATGTGCGCGAGCGGTGCAGGAACATCGCCGACCGCAGTGATACCTGCTATCGCTGCGGTAACCCCGGTCACCGTGCCAGGGATTGCAGGGCGGTCTCGGCTAAATGCGCGGTGTGCGCCGAGAGGGGAGGCCCGTCCGACCATAAGGTCGGCGGGCTAGCCTGTAAGCCTCCGAGGAATCTGGGGTGGAAGGGAAAGAGGAGGAACGCTGGGGAAGAGAGGACCAGGGAAGGGACCGGAGCCTCCACCCCTGCTACAGCAAAAGACTCTCAGGGAAGAAAAGAGGAGACCAGGCCGGTCTCCCCTCCACTGAAGGACCCGGTGCGGAAGTAAGGGGGGAGAGACGGGTCTCCACACCCTCTCCCTCACCGAGAGACTCGCTGCAGGAGTCGGGGGAGAAGGGAAGGGCTTCCACCCCCTCCCCCATGGATCTGGACCCGTGGACGGTGGTGGTCCACGCAATGGTCCATAGGGATACGGAGCCAGAAGAACCGCTGCAGCAGAGGACCACGAGGAAGTGAGGGGCCGCAAAGGACGATACAGAGGAGCCAGCGGACCTGGGAATGGTAGGACAGGCCGGACCACTGGAGGCCGAAAAGGTGAGGAGGGTGATGACGAGAGGCTCACCCCCAACGACTCTAGGTGAAGAGGAGTTGGAGGATGCGCCCCTGTGACTCTTCATGGTATTGACCCCTCCTCATACTCCTCAGAGGAGGGGGAAATAGAGGTAGGGACTCCCTGCGCCTCCGCGGAGACATCAATGCTGGAGGTACCTGTAGAAGAAGCCGCCATGGCCGAAGCCCCCCCCCCAGACGGAGCCGACGCGACATTGTTGCGGGAGGCTCCTCCTGTGGGGGCAGAGGTGGGTAGCCCGGAGGAGGGGCCGAAAGCTTAGCTTTCATGCCCCTTCTCCGGATCCTGCAAGCCAACCTCAACCGCAGCTAACGTGTCCAGGATCTCTTTGCCCACGGGTTGAGGAACTGGAGGCTGGGCTGGGGCTGGTCACCGAGCCGTTCTAGATCCCGATATCCAGCCCTGTCTGGATTGGGAGCCAGAACGGCAAGGTGGTCATTGTGGCACACCCCACCACGGGTTCCCCTCCCTGCAAATGCAGGAAAGAAGGGGACTCGTACGTGGCGGTTGACTGGGGGCCCGTTACTATTGTGGGGGTGTATCTGTACCCCCGCAAAAACAAGGCTGGTCTCGGCGAACTGCTCCATGTAACGGGGATCCTGGACGAGGTCGGGGTGCGGCAGTGCCAACCTCGGCCAGTCGTGGTTGCCGAGGACTTCAACGCCCACTCCAAGGAGTGGGCTTGCAGTCCCCGGCAGAGGGATCCCCGAAGGGGCGACGCTGTGATCGGCTGGGCGGCGGGACTCGGCCTCCTGTTGATGAACAGGGGGTCGACCAGCACCTATGTGCGGCCGAACGGGAAGTTGGTCATTGACTTGACCTGGGCCTCCTCGTCGGCCGCCCGGATCTTCCAGGAATGGGTAGTGGAGACCGAGGGCGACAACCTGTCTGACCACAGGTACATTGTCTGGGCCCTCGGTTCCCAAGCCCTTCCGCAGGTGCTGGGCTGCCGCCCAAGGGGGGGAACCAGGCTCCCCCCGAGATGAGCACTCAGTCAACTGGACTCGGACATGTTTCGGGCGGCCATCCTCGCGGCCACCTGGCATCTGGATGAGGCTAGGCAACTGGTGGGCATCGTGACGTCGGCCTGCGACGTAGCGATGTCCCGGTCCCACCCCCGTCGGCGCTGGGCTGCCTATTGGGGGACGGCGGCTATCGCAGAACTGCGAGGCCGCCGCCCAGGCCAGACGGGTGTACACCTGGGCCCGGCGGAAAGACGGGAAGGCCGTGAGGGAAAAGGAGGGCTATCGCCAGGCGCGAGATGCCCTCAAGGCCGCCATAGCCGAAGCAAAGGCGGGGGCCTGGGAGCAATTGGTGAGCTCCCTGGACGAAGACCCGTGGGGGCGCCCCTATAAGCGGACGGTCGGGAAGATACGTCAGTGGGCGCTCCCGCCAACGAAGTCGCTAGACCCCCAGGACCTGGAGGGGCTCTTCAATACCCTCTTCTCGAGGGCGGAGGGGGGCCACCTGTGGATCCCTGCCCCACGGTATGAGGAGTGGACCGAGGACCTGGGGGTCAGTCCGGAGGAGCTCGCCAGCGCCAGGAAAAGGCTGGGGGCAGGGGCAAAGCTCCTGGCCCCGACGGCATTCCTGGCTGCACCTGGGCTTTCGCCCTCGGCGATCGGAACATATCCGAAGCCACGAGGGGTGTGTTGAACGGGTGCCTCAGGGACGGGGTTTTCCCCCCAGAATGGAGGAGGGGCAAATTGGTCCTCCTCCCGAAGGTGAGTAAAACACCCGATGGACCGCCGGCTTACAGGCCGATTTGCCTGCTGGATGAGGTGGGCAAGATGCTCGAACGCATCATCGCGGACCGCCTCGTCCAGCATTTGTCCTCAAATGGGCCGGACTTCCACGACAGGCAATACGGGTTCAGGCCCGGACGATCGACGCTGGACACGATTCAGCACGTCCGGTATCTGACCCGTGCCGTCGTGGAGGAGAGGGGCGGGGTGTTGTTGGCGGTATCCTTGGATATAACCAACGCTTTCAACACCCTGCTATGGCCGGATATCGGGCGGGCGCTTGAGCATCATCGAATGTCTGCCTATCTCCGGCGCATCCTCGCGGCCTATTTTGGGAACAGGGACCTCGCCTACCCGGTTCAGGGCGGGGTCCAGGGTCAGCGTCTGATGGAACGCGGTGTCCCGCAGGGGTCTGTCTTGGGCCCCATGCTATGGGACATCGCGTTCGACAGGGTGTTACGCTCGCCCCTCCCCCTCGACTGCCACGTCACCTGCTACGCAGATGACACTCTAGTGGTAGCCGGGCTGGGGGGAAGCCAGCTTTAACGCGGAAGTGGCCCTTGCAACGGTGGTGGACACAATTAGTGACCTGGTTCTAAAGGTGGCGCCCCACAAGACGGAGGTCGTCTTCTTTCACGACGGTAGCCGTGGGGCGCCGCCAGAAACCCGGGTCTTGGTGGACGGAGTCCGCGTCCGCGTCGGGTCCACGATAAAGTATCTAGGCCTGATGTTGGACGGCCGGTGGGACTTGAGGGCCCACTTTAGGGACCTGGACTCCCAGGTCAGAAAGGCAGGCCTGGCTCTCGTCAGTTTGGTGCAGACCTAGGGGTGCCCTGGCTGGCACGCTCGCCGCCTGTATGTGGGAGTGGTTCTCTCGATCGCCCTTTATGGGGCGCCAATTTGGGAGCCCCAATTGTTGGCCACAGCCCAAGGCAAATGCCTTATGCGCCAGGCGCTGAGGGCGGTGGCTGTGAGAGCGGTTCGGGGGTTCTGCTCCATAGCATACATGGCGGCGACGATCCTGGTCGGTTCTCCCCCAGTGGAGCTCCTTGCGGAGGAAAGGTGTACTCTTTATTGGAGAATCAAGGAGCTCCGCGAAAGGGAGGAGGCAACAGCGAGGGAACTTTCGGCCCTGAAGTCTCAGGTGGTTGCCCGGACACTGCAGAAGTGGGAGGATGCAATGTCCGACCCGCGAGAGTTCGGGCAGCTAACGATGACGGCTGTCCGCCCCTGTCTGGCGGAATTCGCAGGCAGGAGGGGGCGCGGACTCACTTATCATCTGGTGCAGGTGATGGATGTTTCGGTCATTACCTGCACCGGATAAAGAAAGAGCCCACCACCGGGTACCACCACTGTCTGGAGCCGGATGACACCGCGCACCACACCCTGTCCGAATTCCCGACATGGGACAGGGAGCGCGGTGTCCTGGCCCGGGCGGTGAGGTGCAGGGAGAACGAGGCGACGCTCCCGCGCATGGCAAGAGCCATGTGCGGGAGCGAAGAGATTTGGGGAGAGGCGGCCTTCTTCTCTCGCAGCGTGTTGACGCGGAAGGAGGCCGCCGAGTGGGAGCGTCACCCCGGAGACCGCCGCAGACAGCGACGAGGAGGGCGGCGCTCCCCGGGGTTGAGTAGCAGCAGCGGGCCCGAGGGGGTGCCGGCAGGGGAGGAGGAAAGGCCACCGGCTAGACGGAGGCCGCCTCCCCGGCCGCCTTGGGCTCGTCTTCGGCCGCGCGAGGGGAGGGAACGACGAGGGGCTCGCAATGCCCGCCTACCTCCCCCCTCAGCGACAGATAGCGTAGACGAGAGGGAGTGGAAGCCTAGTTGGGGCTGGGCTCCACTCCCCCGCCACCCCCTCCTTTGGAAGGGAGATAAATAGGGGGGCGCGGAGGAAGGGTGGATGTCCCCTTCCTCCAAGTAATCACCGGAGTGTCAATCCGGTCGGGAAACCGGCCGGGGGACCGCGCCCTGGACTTCCTTTGCGGGACAGGGCGCGGTACACAATGGCGTGGGGCTCCTGGAGAGTCCTGGGGCCGGGATGTTAGGGAGGGAATGCGGGAGCAGTTCCCCTAACTCCCCTCACAACAGTCCGAATGGTCATCCCGCAGGGGTTTTAGTCAGTAAGAGTTTGACATAACCCCCGACCCCCCAAAGAGTCGGGGGTATCCATGATGAATTTCCCCTGCGTTACCAAAAAAAAGGTACTTCTGGGACTACCCTCGTAATTAAGGGGATCCTGAAGCCGTCTGTTTTACCGATATATTGATTTCAATCTTTTCAAACACTAATCTTTTTATTAGCTGCACAGATTGAAAAATCCTTTTGCCCAATGAAAGTACTTATAATAATGAAGTCTGGAAAGCAGAGTTTAATGTAAAATTCAATGAAAAATTAAAAAATAGCAGTTTAGTTATCATGTTCTGCGTCAGCACGTAACTTTACTTATTAATTATAACAATTCTGCAGTTTATCCGTACAAAAGCTTTCGCTTCCATACTAACCATAATATGAAAGAATAATACTAAAGTAACAGAAATGAGCTCAGAAATCAGTGTAAAAAGAATAGTATTTGAGAAAAAATGTCTTGGATGTGTGTGCGGAATGTGTTTGCTACGCTTTGGAGTGAAACAGAACAGTAGCTTAGTTCCGCATAATCATGATCGATGGAGCTGCAGGCAAACATAATCGTACTATCCTTGTCTGTTTCATGCGTAGAGTAATATTATGACAATGAAACTAGTAGTTGTTAATTTTTTTTCGCATTTTACATAAAACTCTGCTTTCTAGACTACGTTATTATAAGTACTTTAATTGTGCAAAAGGATTTTGCAATCTGTGCAGCTAATAAAAAGATTAGTGGTTGAAACTGTTTCGTATTTGTTCTCTCGATCGCACGCTTATTAGGCTGCGTTCACAATCAGTTTGAAGACGTTGTCGTATGTCGCATATATGCCGTACGTACCAATCGCAACCTCACAAGTGACAAATAACATATACCAGGTCTTTAAATATGAACCCGGAATTTGCCCATAGATCGTCCTAGCTGTCAATGTAGTTACCGTCAAACCGCGTTATTGGCGCCATTTCCATTTGTTGACATCTGACAAAGATTTTCAACTCACAACAATACAAGTTTCATACAACAGCATAGTTTGTAATAGCGTTGAACATGTCGAATTTTGTGCCTGGAAGTTACGATTTGCGGACAGCATCGATTTTCTGATACTATTTGAAGAAAACTGCTGCAGAATTGCATCGAATGCTTGTCGAAGCTTACGGTGAGCATGTTCTTGGTAAAGCACAGTGCTTTGAGTGGTTTAAAAAATTCAAACAGCGATTTTGACGTGAGAAACGAAGAACGTGGAAGACCACCGAAAAAGTTTGAAGACAGCGAATTGCAAGCATTGTTGAATGAGGATGACGCTCAAACGCAACAACAATTCGCGGATCAATTAAATGTGACACGAGAAGCCGTCTCCATACGTTTGAAAGCCATGGGAAAGATCCAGAAGATGGGAAAATGGGTTCCACATGAACTGAATGAAAGACAGCAGGAAAACCGAAAAAACCACTTGCGAAATGCTGCTCTCCAGGTACAAAAGAAAGTCATTTCTCCATCGAATTGTGACTGGCGATGAAAAGTGGATATATTTTGAGAATCCTAAGCGTAAAAGGTCATGGGTAACTCCAGGCGAACCATCGACATCGACTGCAAGACTAAATCGCTATGGACGGAAGACAATGCTCTGTGTTTGGTGGGATCAGAAGGATGTGATCTATTATGAGCTGCTAAAACCTGGAACCGTTAATACTGAACGCTACCGACAATAAATGACCGATTTGAATCAAGCTTTGCGCGAAAAACTGTAACGGTCACGCCTCCGGGTTCGGTTTTCTAGTCGATCCGCCCCTGCGCGTCAGATCGTTTGCTGCGGTTCGAGCGCAGGAAAGATTTTAGGAGAAGGTGTGTGTGTCAATAATAGTGTCGGTGTATGTGTAGAAAATGAATCTTTATTCGTCTTCTCTCGGCGCACGTAGGGACCGCGTGTTATTGCGCAGTGTCCCAATGTTTCGGTGTTGGTTTTGTCGCACGACTTTGTTTCGCTTTTGTCTCGGTATATAAGCGCGTTCACATACGCGAGTGGGTAATTCGCCAGCTGGAAGATTAACGAGTTTTATAGGCGCGACAGCGTGTCAGGCGTCTATGACGCAATGAGTTGGGACACAATTCACATATAATTTGGTAGACAAATAATCGCATTTGTGATTGCGGATGGTCCCTCGAAACGGCAGCTTGGGAGTGTGGTTGAAGGAGTTTGCGAGATTTAAAGGCCGTGCGTTCGTCTCGGTTTACGGCAGCTGTTTATAAGTACGCGTACAAAAACGTGTCGCGTCGCGCTCTCGCTATCGCGGCACGTATGTAAGAACCCGACCGCGAGCCGAGGCATGAGACTCGCGATTGTTTCCCAATTACAATACGATTTGGCGCGTTTCTTTAGGGAGCCGGACGATTGTTCTGAACGCCAGTCGATGTCGCAATTAGTTCCTTTTCTTAATCACGTTGGTAATGTTGCTGTCTGCTCAATCTCTACAGCACGGTGCGTATATTGGTAGCGGGCGCTTCCGCGCTGGCCGCCGCGCCGGATGGCCGGAGCTCGTTGGTAGGCGAAAAGGCTGGAGGTGACCGGGCCTTCGCCTGAGCCGAATCCTATAGGAAGTAGATAGGGAGAAACAAATATAATTAGGAGAGCGTTCCGGAAAACACACCGGAGTAACGACAAACTCGCCGTTCGATCTTGATATTGCAAGGACGGCACAAAAACGGAAGTTCGTTCCGGAAAACACACCGGAGCAACGATAAACTCGCCGTTCGATCTCTAATAACAAAGACGACACAAGAATGAGAATCGTTCCGGAAAACACACCGGAGCAACGACAAACTCGTCGTTCGATCTCGAATCGCAAAGACGGCACAAAAACGGGGGATCGTTCCGGAAAACCCATTGGAGCAACGACAAACCCGCCGTTCGATCTCGATATCGCAACAACGGTACAAGAACGGGAGATCGTTCCGGAAAACCCACCGAAGCAACGACAAACCCGCCGTTCGATCTCGATATCGCAACAATGGTACAAGAACGGGAGATCGTTCCGGAAAACACACCGGACCAACGACAAACTCGCCGTTCGACCTCTATATCGCAACAGACGGCACAAGAACGGGAGATCGTTCCGGAAAACCCACCGGAGCAACGACAAACTCGTCGTTCGATCTCTATATCGCAACAGGCGGCACAAGAACGGGAGATCGTTCCGAAAAACCCACCGGAGCAACGACAATCTCGCCGTTCGATCTCTATATCGCAAAAGACGGCACTAGAACGGGTGATCGTTCTGGAAAATCCACCGGAGCAACGACAAATTCGCCATTCGATCTCTATATCGCAAAAGTGAAAACTAATCGTAATCGTCGATGATGGCAGTCCGGTAGATTACTTACGTGATCTGCAGGAGCTTCTCTGTAGATTCTCTGACTCTTATGGGGAAGAACGATCTGTTGAGATGGAACTCTGAAGACTGTCCCCTCATCAATTTTTGCCGGGATTATATACTCATATTTTCTGGCCTTCGGTTCCTTCCGTTGATTTGTCGGTGATTAATCCGATTCTGATCGGAATTAATCATGATTATGCGGCGCTCGCCGAGGATTTTTTCGGCGGCGCCGCGGGCTCGGCTCGGCGGCCGATCGTTCCCGAGCGTCGCTGCCGGGTGTTCGGCTAGGCTCGGGCGAGCGCTGAGTTAGGCGCGGAGACGGCGCGGGTTGGGGGTG